TACGATGCGTTCTGGAAGAGGAGCATCCTTGGAACCGGTCAAGCAATCGTTTGTATCCTGATTATGGGGTATTGTCACTCTTTCTACCGGCTTTTGTAGAAGAAAAAAAAATTCTTCGCCCAGACGCGACGAGGTTTTTTTTTCTCTGGTTCATCTTCCCATATCATGCGGGCGCCCCAGCACGTAATAATCGAACAACAATTTATTACACACTTCAAGATCAATCGATGGGAAAGACACGAGATCTTCTTCTTCCCCGATCCTTCTCTTCCAGAAAAACTCAGTTTTTCTTTATGCAGAGACAATTGGAGAATTCTGGTTGCGCAAAGACTACTACTTTGATTATTGTTTCGAAGACAATGCTATTACCCAGGCAAGAAATTCGTGAAGAAAAGTTAATCGTGTTCCGTCGTGTTGAAAGTGAGATCAGTTCTGAACAGTGTGAAAAAGCGCCTCTTCGTTCGTTTTAACGATCATTAAAAGTTTTTTTTTCTTTGTTTTTTAGATATTGTTCTAAATTCTAAGAATTTAATCGTCGAAAGTTATCCACGATTATGATTATAAATTTATTTTTCTAAAATATATATACAATAAACGATATCTATTAAACTATAATACCTATCGTCAAAGAAAAGTCTACAAACCCTTGGAATATCCTATAGAATATCCTATGCCAGTAATAGATAATTATAGTGATCTGTAAGAATGAGAAGATCGAGTATTGATCTCCATTGATCCCCTAATTGAAAAAAAGAAAAGGATTGGAAAATAAATCCTCTCAAATATTTATTTATCAGCGAGGAAGGCTGTTGTGACGAATGAGAAAAAAGAGGATCTAGGAGTGAATGGTCACAAGGATGAAGGTCGATCGATCGACCGATAGTCGATAAAAATCGAACATTCTGATGGAAGAACAACGTTTTATCGAGACCGGTTCGAATAAAGGGTACACGTAAACAAGAAAGGCGGAACCACGGGCCGCCGCGCCGGATATTGCGAAGTCCGAGAACGCGAGGGACAGGTCCGGGATGAAGAGGCGGAACGAAAAGGTGGAACATGATTTCGCGTATACCATGATCGATCAAGGATCGCCGTGGATAGGTATGATCCAGATCCTCCTCAGGATCGAGTTTCTTTAAAGTCTTGCGGTTTTTAATTCGCCTCGATACCCCTTGATGCTATGGGAAGAGAATGTACCTCGGGGAACGGATGATAGAAAATTTATGAGGAAAGAAGAAAACGCATTATTGATGGCCGAGAAAAAAGGGAAAATGTTTTCATAATTTTGTAACGAAAGAAGGAAGAAAAGAAGAAATTTAATTTTGAAGGAATTAAACGACCCTGTCAATTTCTGTTTAGAGTCAAGCATATTTTCTATATTTTCTGGAACGCGATGACGTACCACTTTGCATAATGGAGAAGACATTGACATTATCGAGATCATTGCACGCGAACCGACGATTTTTCATTTCATTCGTCCAAGTTGCGTAAAGTTGTGCGGTATAGCGAAAGCCGCAACAGCATCTTAGCGATCGTTCTACAGTTAGTTAACGCAAGTTTTTTGAAAAAAAAACGTTGACCAGACTTCATTTTATTCCAACATACCGGTTCCAACGTATTCCTCGACCAGCAAACGGAATCGTAAGATCATGACACTTCCGCGGCTTCTTTATCTTATCGTCAATACGATAATGTTTCTATGATCGCGTTGCATCGAAATTGGAATAGTCTTTCAACGTTTCGATTCTTAATTTCGAGAGGAAAAAAAAAAAGAGAGAGAGAGAGAAATCAAAGAAAAATTATCGTAAATTACTCCGATTACGAAAAATGGTACGTGAAAAATTTCTGTTTAATAAGATAAAAGAATTCTTACAAGGGTCAAAGAATATAGAAAAAGAAATTGCAGTTGGAGTAACATATCAAAGTACAACTCGTTATCTGTCGACGACTGAATAGCTACGACGACAAGTTATCATCAAGAAGTGATTATATTCTAATCCACGCGGCGCCGATATTTCGGATTATCATTCGGTATCTATAACGGAGCACACTTGTTTATTCTTCATCTTTTGTCCAGGAAACATTGCTCCCTACCTTCTCTTCGAGAAACACGTAGCTTTTCGCTACTTTTTAAAACATTTTTCCATATCAATTTTTAGGAAAAGTTTTCATAAAAATCGATACGAATTATTTCACGCGGAGAGAATGTTTCTATCATATCGCGTTAAAAAAGTTTTTCGTTTCGATTATTCTTAACATAGTCGTTCCTCTAATTTAATACCGAGCAACCTACTAAGAAACGAAGGTCGGTAGACAGGGAGCAAGCGCGATTAAGTGGATCCACCAGGGTTACGGCGGTATAGTTTTTCACTTCACATTGTGAGTCGTCGTCCGCAATGTGCGACGCGTTGGCATGCGGGATTCTCACAGAGAATTCCCGGTTCCATGGACAAAAACTGGGGACGAAGATATAAACTCAGGCCACATCGAAAGGCCACCGAAAACCCGAAAAGAAAGAAACTTCGAAAACGATATATCTTCTCCCAGAAAGAATTAAAATATCTTTTTCACGAGTTCGTAGAAAAATCTTACGCGAAGGTGTAAAAATTAGATAATATCTTTCGTAGCTCTCCTCGAGGCGAGTGATACGGGCTTCCAGGGATCGCTGAATAGCTACAAAAATATTCAAACTACTGTGACCAGGATGTTGGCGCACAGTTATTCTCCTCGAAGAAGCTAACGGAAGAATTCAACCACGTTTGCAACGACCTTTGACGTGGCCTCGTGCGAAACAGGCCAGGCAAACGTAGATACAATGAAAACCGAGCTATTCAACAGTCGCGTATTTAATATCTGGAACTATAGAAACTAGGATGCCGGCAATAATGCAAAGTTCGCGCTTTAAATACGGTGACCCTAATTTTTATTTACGGCTCTACGCGGCGGTATATCGACGACGATGATTCGCGGATGAAGGTATGCGAGTGAAACGAACTTGGTGCCGATTATATCAACCTGTTATCAAGATTAAAATTCTATGAAAAAGAGGCAACGCGTCGGTGTTGGTAGAAAATTTTGCTCGTATTCGAATGGACGAGGATCTCGGTCCCAGATGTCGGGCGAAACTGGCCATCCTAAACATCTTGCTTGGATCAAGGGCCTCGGGAGAGTCGTGTTTCCATGAGCGAAAAAAGGAATGCGAAACCGAGCTGCCTGCAGTTGCAGCTTGACAAAATTGGGGACACTTGGATCGTGAGAAATTCACCCTCTTCCCAAACCTGACTTCTGTCAGTGGTAATATCAAAAGCGGTGAAAAATATTCAAGAATAAATCTTGAATCAATTAACGCTCGTTTGGAAGTGTCCCCAATTTTTGCACGCGAAAATTCTTTACTTTAATGGAGATTTACTCTTGAATTCCTCTTGATAATGCTCTTGATCGGTTATAAATATTTCTTGTAATATTGCTTAAAGTATATATCGTAACTGAGACTAACTAAACTAAACTAAATTATTTCTTAACTAATAATTAAAATAATTTGCTACATCGAAATAACTTGAAATATAAATCGATGCTAACGAATTTTTTAACGTTATAATTTTCCACTCGATCGAGAATAATCGCGAGAATCTAAACGACATCAAAAATATAATCGTGGATTATAACGAAGGAAATTTTCGTCGATGAATCTCATTAACACGACCGAGCAAGGACACACGTGGTCCAGCTGTTAATAAAATGCAATCGAATTGTTTTATTCTCGTTTTCACGAGAACTTCGTTTCAACGCCCGTCGCGGATGAACGTTTTGTTTTACTCGTTTGCTTTATTAGGAACCACGTCATTGCTTTTTGTACCCTCCTGTCTCCCTACCCGTTTAAACGCTCGACTCTTTCTACCACGATCTTTTATACGATTTGATTTCGAATAGAATAAGAGAATAAAAAGAAATAAAACTCCTGTTTTTTCTTCTTTCTTTTTTTTTTTTTTTTTTTTTT